AAATAACTACCCAGTGAACTTCTTCAACAAAATCAACACTGACATTAAATATGGTCGAAAAAGTATTCCGAAAACATGGACCTGAACAGCTGTCATTCCCTATAGAGCGCAGACATCGGACGATATCAGAAGAGTATTCAATAAGCTCAACATCAGAGTTTTCTTCAAAACGTCAGACACACTGCGAAACAACCTTGTCCATATAAAAGACGAAATCCCTAAGAATTCTCTATCTAATTGTGTCTATAAAATAAAGTGCTTGATACGAATGTGATGCGATATACATCGGACAAACATCTCAAGAAATCAAAATCAGAAGAAATGAACAACATAGAGCATCTCTTCGACCACCACCGAGAAATCCAGTAGAACTAGAAAAGCTTGAAAAACCATCAGCCATAGGTCGTCTACACGCTATAGAATCAGGTCACAAAATTGATTTTGACAATAATGAAATCATCATCCAGAAAAAGCAGTTGAGAAATCACAAAGAACGTCTCTTATCAGAATCACTTCATATCAAGTGGAATCCAAATTGTCTGAATAGGAACGATGGACCAGAACAGAATTTGACCAGGTTACAACACCCCCTCCCCCATGAAATGACAAAATCAACACGGAAGTGATAAGCAATTTCACTATGTAAACACACATTGCTTTTATAATTTTACACACTCATCAAATCCAACAATCTACACCTGGTTTTGTTATCTTTACCAATTGGCTGATTTGACAACGGAAAATGCCCTGATTCTGAGGAATGATGACTAGGTTGTTAAATATAAACTGAGTGGATTTTGTAGATTCTGGTTTAATAATACTTTGATAAAGCTATTAGCAGCAGCATTAAATAGCCAGAAGTCAGTAAAAACAATATCGTTTTGTTTTTCATTCCTTGGGAAATACAAAATGCCCTTATTATACTGCACACCATAACCCAATGCCCAAATTTTTTCAAATTGTTAAAAGTGAACTTGGTTTGGACACATATAGCTGTGTCAATTCAAATTTATGACTATCTTCGTTGATGCGTATAAATGTCATAATAAGTAACTAGTAATCTGACAACATTGAATTAATACACTCCCTCCTGAACTATTACCTTCTTTTTTAATTCTCATAGAAGTAAGTGCTCCATGAAAATGGCATAAGTCCTTTAGAACGAGTTGCCGTATATGTTTTTGTTTTCACGAATGGATATTCTACTCGACTTCAACTTTATCATGACATTTCGAACAGCATGAATAAGAATAGGAAACAGTACTTTGATTGAACACTAGTAACTATTCCGATGTTTCTAGACCTTTCTTCGGTGCATACTGAATTCTATCAGTCAGGTTTACAATGTGACCACCATTCTAGGTAGGTCACCATCATAGTGTACATTGATTTGATATTAGATGGTTGCATGAAATTGGTAGGAAGAAAGGACTAGACACATCGCATTAATTACTATTGTTCAATCAAAGTATCCACTACAGTCCTACAGTAGGTCAATCGTGAGCCCGAATAGCTCAGTAGTAACGTCTCTGACTGCAGCACTGGGTGACGCCGGTTAAAATCTCAGAAGGGGGATGAGTTCCTTCAAGGTTGCAGATACGCCTTGCTGAATGGTGAGTGCCAACTAGCACGAAACCTAGGTCTAAGGCTTCCTGCCGATCGCCTCCAACCATCTAATAATAACAATAATATGAGACAGTCCCCAGTACTTCTCTTGAAATCAAATTATATTTCATATGAATAAAAGCGATCTGCTTTGAAATTACGCAATATATATGTACTGAAGATTTTGTAATACTGACTTCAAAATGATAATCCCACCAAAAAGGCGTAGTTTAAACAATGTGTACTTCACAACTCATCCGATTTAAAATGAAAACTTGACTTCCCTACTGTGAACTTTTAGTTTGTCATGTGATTGATTTTCACTTTTACAATCACGTGTAACCACGTTATTCGAGCTGTACTCTGGTGAACAGTAGTTTTTTTAATTTATTTCAAGAACTTGATATGACAATTATTCCAGTGAAATGTACGAGAGGTGTACAGTACAACAGTGCATATGATGTGCATTCAATAAAAAGGGTTAGGATTTAACTCCAATCTGGGTTGTCATATTAAACAAAAATAACTATTATTATTATTATATTATTATCGTTTCCTTTAGTTCCTAGAGAAACCTAGAGCTTCAGTCACACGTCTTCATTGCGTTCGGTTCTCTGCCAACGTCTTCACCTGGCTCAACGTCTGCCTAAATGCCTTCATCTCCTCTTTACATGACCTCCTCCAAGTCACCCTCGGACGACCGAATCGCCGTTTCCTGTTCGGATTCCACTCGAGAGCCTGTCGAGTGATGCCACTTTATGGTTTGTTTTCTCAGAGTATGGCTAATCCACCTCCATTTCTTCCTGCTTATTTGTTGCACAGTCGGTTCCCGCTGTGTTGGTTCGCTCCCAGAGATCCATCCCTATTGCTGATCTTTTCCGTGTGGCCATCTGATCTTGAGTATTGAGCAAAGAAAGCTGTTGATGAAGGTCTGTAGTTTGTTCGAAGTGCCCTTCGTGACTCGCCGCGGCCCCAAGTCTCTAATCCGTATATTACCATTGACTTCACATTCGAGTTGAAAATCCGTATCTTATCTTGCATGCTGAGTGCTGTTGATCTCTAATTTCCTTGATTAATCACACTATCGTTATTTTTTAATAACCTGGGGTTCCAATGGGAGGTCAGGACCAGTAGGGCGCAGCAGGTTGGGTGTGAGGACAAATACTCGCTGAAGACATTGGCTAGCGGTTGCGCTATATCGTGAATTGGCTGAAGTTAGAATTCATGGTCCATTGAATCGGGTCCCAGTGGCTGAATGGCCTACGACCTTGGCATGTAAATGCAAGGTCCACAGTTTCAACCCCACTGGGTGGATACTGATGAAAAGTCACACACTAGGATGAAACACCTATCCAGTACTCAGTGGTTTCTCTCACCGATATCAGGTCATCGTTAAACCTGTAACCGAAATTCAACTTGCTGCTCATTTTAGTTGCCTACAAAAGTTTATCAAAATATTACTAAGTTTACTTTATAGTTAAGTGGCACTAAATTTCATCTTTCTTACTTTGTCGAAATTTATCAAGGGAATGATGTGTATGAAGAACTAATGATAACATTTATAGTCTCAAGGAATGGAATTTTACCCAACAACCCCTTGTAATTTAATGCAATGAGCCACACCTGTGTTTGTGAGGACTGGTGATACTAGTCATTTTATCAATAGTTGCCTTCAATTCATATTGAAGGTCAAATGGCCAATCAGAAAGAATTAGCAAATAGAGACTCTGGGAACGAATCAACCAAGAACCTGTTGCTCAACAGTTATCCCAAAGAAAATGCGAAGCGGACTGCGTAAACATTGAGGAGACGGTCGAATGACATCACGCGCCAGGCCAGCACTCGAGTGGAAGCCCAATGGAAGACTACAAGTTGGGCTTCTGAGAGGTGGTATGGAGGAGATCGTGCGAGAAGATGAGAGACTATGGACAATCGCGGGGCCACCTAAAGAGGACTGCAGAGAATAGGAAAAAGTAGAGATGTGCTTTTGAAGCACTTTCTTTCACTCGAAATCCACGGAAACGATAGTAAATAACACAATAATAATATTCTATATTTGGTTTGTAAGGATTAGATTTGCTTTTTAATGGATTGATATAAGTTAGAGAACCATTGAAAACCACGGAGTACTGCACAGCTGTTTCGTTAGTCTAGTTTGGGTATCATCGGGAGCACGCACCCACCGCCATGGTTCGAAACCAGGACCTTCCGGTTACAAGGCAAGCTCGTATACCATTTAGCCACTAGGAGCCGATTCATTGGCGTCGGTGGGACATACATCCACACACTTGACTGGTTGGATCTAACTGGTCATGAGTTCTCACTAGAACTCCAGGAAACTCTGTCCTGTAGCAAGTCACTAGGGAGCATCGGATTAATTTTCAAGAGTTGGTTTGTAGGAATTAGACTTGTTTTTACAAGTTGATCACGGATTGATATCAGTTAGAGAACCAACTATAGAAAATTAATCTGATGCTCCCTAGTGACTTGCTATAGGACGGAGATTCCTAGAGTTCTAGTGAGAAGTCGTGACCAATGGCATTCATCCGGTTGGAAATGAGGAGAAATAATCGCTAATTACATTGGTTGGTGGTTGCGTTAAATCACGAATTGGTAGAAGTTAGAATTCATGCACTGGCCATTGGATCGGGTCCCAATGGCTGAATGGTATACGAACCAGAATGCCTTGTAACTGGAAGGTCGTGGTCTCGAACGCTGGCAGTGGGTGCGTACTGCCGATGATTCCCAAACCACCATGAGACAGCTGTATGACAGTACTCCCTGGTATTCAATGGTTCTCTAACTGATACCAATCCGTGACCAACTCGTAAAACACAATAATAATAATAGCTGAGAGGTGAAGCAGGCTTCAAACTAGTGACCCATTGATCAGAAGTAGAGAACATATTCCAATAAACCACATCTTTACGTGTAGTTTTATAGGGGGAACTTTGTCAGAAGAAACCAAAGTTTGGAAAGAAAAAACGTTGCCAGGAGATACTTGCAGTCTGAACTCTTCATTACATAACACAAATCACTGTGTCCTGTAACCTAAAACACTTCAGGTATAAATTACTTCCAATGTTCATGCGTCGGTGGTATAGCGGTTAGGACGCTCGCCAACCATGCACATGTTCCGGGGTTCGATCCCCGGCCGACGCACTCCTTTACCTCGCTGAGCCAGAAATAATGCTGGTAAAGAGGAAAGGTTGGGCATGAGGCTAGCTACCCCATCCTGTAAAATAAACACTGCTGAAGAAACTTCAAGCCACTAGCTTGAGGCCCTATGTTCCACTGGGGAACGTGAAGGAAAAAAATGTTCATGAAATATTTTTCTTTCGATTTTATATAATTAAAAGGAGTTTTAAGAGCAAACTCCATATTTGTGAGCACTAAACGCATTTCCTATGGAAACAAAATTACCTTTGTTTCTACGTGTAAATGGAATTATTAGTGAGACATTATTCATAATAATTCAGTCACTAACTGCAAACACAGTAATCGATTAAGGCAAGTGTTTGAAGAGATATATAGTCAAGTGGAATGCTAACAGAAACAGTTCATCAAATAAAATGCAGACAGATATACGTCCCAGGAGAAGAATGAAACACGCACGTCTACCGTGTCACTGTTAGGCAATAATTTTTAAAAGATAATTTTTTTAGAAAAATAAACTTTATAACTATCAAGACAATATTCTTCTTTCCTTAACTAGATAAAAATTAAATAAATAAATATTATGCATAATTTAATGTATACAAAACTGAAATATACCTCGTGTTTATGGAAGATTTCGAATACAGAACAACCAAAAACAACAACAACAAAAATCACCAAACATCAGAGAAAAGAAGTGGAATAGAGAGAGAAAATTTCAAAACTAAATAAAAAAATACACTTAAAGGGGAAAAAATAACAAATACACAAACAATTAACCAGAAAAATCAAAATCCTTCTGAGCACTTTTCATTCACCTTTAGCATCAGGGATAGCTCGCATAAATCATGACCATTAATAGTATGAATTCAGTTATTTGGAAGAGATTTTTCAACAACTACCTCACTACATGGCTCACACACACATATATCTAGTTGCCCTGAGTGAAGTAGACGGAGCAGGGTTCGAGCCCCCCTCTTCTTGACCCATTGCCTAAATGCTGAAAACAAAATCTAAATGACTTCATAACTTTTATAGAGAACAACTGCATATCGGTACTTTAACCAGCACGCTAGACGAATCATAATGACAGACATCATTCAATCCTCCACCAACACGTTCACCAAAATAATCAAAAACATATAAATTAGGCATTTTAAATGCAAGTGTCTCTAGGATATTATCTGAAATACGACCACATTTAATTAAATTTAATATTACTAAATTTGGCACTTTCACTGGAATATCAGATAGAGCTGTCCCGTGTATAGTAGAATTCCCGATAAGACTTAATTGATGTAGACAACAGCACACATGAATTATTTCATTAATGCCAATATCAGTAATCTCCCAACACCAGTTTAAAATAAGTGTATGTAGGCGATTACCACAACAACTACACATGTCTAGCACTACAGTATCATTTACACCTGGTGCTTCACTTAAATCTAAATATTCAAGATATTTTAAAATAAATTTTCGATTTAAATTATTAGCAGTTTGACAGACAAATAATGAACTTAAAGCGTTGGGCGTAACTTGTTGTGTATTTCTTAGGGTAAGTGAGGTAAGATTTGAAAGATTCGCTATAGACATGATTGTTGTATCCTCAATATTATCACAAAAACTAATCCATAATTGTTGAATCCCTAGAAAACGATGATAATCACATTCAGGATAGAGAGTATTTATAAAATCTAATAAGCGTTGTGTAGTATTTCCCAATCGAATAATAAATTCATTTAATCCAGAATTTGAAAGTTCAAAACCATCAAGCCATATATCCGTAAGTTTACCAGTGTGAATAGCTTCACTGTCAGTTAGATATAAAATTCCTGTATTTGTAATCCATTGTACACCATCCAAATTAAGACGACATAGATTGTGTAATTGTTCTGAGATAATTTTAATGCATGAATCACAGACAGAAACACAATGTGACAGATTGAGTGCTTCTAGTTTTGGACATTTCAATACTAGAGTCGAGATGAAATTGATCTAAAAAAAGAAAGAAGAACATAATAAATAGCACTGGAATAGAAAAGAGTACTATACAAAGCAGGTAAAACTGTCATCATTGGTATGTTAAGAAAATTTTTTATAAAAAAACCCCATTCTAAAATGAATCATATGATAAAGCAAATCACAGCAGTTGTCTACAGTTTCATATACAGATAGTGAATGTATATGCCACAAATTAACAAACTAGACTCACATACTATTCGATTCTTTCAGATTCTGCTGTCTGTCTGTCTGGATTCAACATAGAACTTGGCACCAAAGTGCAGCAGTTCGAGTTGCCACGTTCCAAATAGCACACAGAGGTAGACAAGAAGATGAGTGGAGAGAATTAATAGAGTTTGACAAATATAGGAGTGAAACAGAATGGGTAATGGTAGAAAGGAATATGAAAGATTAAAGAGACTGAATACATCTGCGCCATTGACAACGATTTTGAGCCATGTCACCTATTGTCTCCAGCCATTGATTCCTAGAGTCCCGAGGGCCCCAACCCGGGAGTCTGCATCTCCCTACCTGACTCAGTTTAACTGTCAAGGATTTCATGGATTGATGCCATGTTTTTGTTTGGCCACCACTGGCTCTTTTCCAACCTGAACCTATATCAGCTAACAATGCCCGTCGGGGGAGGCGGTGGTTAGGCATGCGCACCACGTGACCTAGCCATCTTAGTCTATGTAACTTTATAGCCTCGTCGATTGATTTTCCCTCTTTGCCCAACACTCTACGCCTAACGTCAACATTACTTATCTTGTGAAACCACCTAACGTGAGACAGAGATCGCAGACATCTATGATCGAAAGCAGTCAACCTTTTCATGTCTTCAACGCGTATTGGCCATGTTTCAGAGCCATAGAGAAGGACGGAGCGAACTGATGAGCAGTACACACGTCCCTTGGTTGATAACCGGATGTCACGCCTACGCCAGAGATGGTGTAAGTCAGCGAAAGCAGCTCGAGCTTTTCGGATCCGTGCTGAGATTTCATCGCCAATCAGTCCGTTGGTGCTAATACAACTTCCCAAGTAGGTGAAGTGGTCAACATGTTCTATCACTTCACTCCCTATCACTAAGTTAGGGGTTGACGTCGTCCAGTCCTGTAGCAGCATCTTACATTTTGTAGGGGCGAATCGCATGCCAAACATACGAAGATTGCTGCTCAAGGTGTTCAGAAGACTCTGCATTTTGTCAGCATCCTCCCCTAACAGGACTATGTCATCTGCATATTCTAAGTCCATTAGATTATTCCCTGGTAACAAGTCGATTCCTAAGTCGTTACGTTCAGTTAAGGATACTTCCATTAGCATATCTATGATGAAGTTAAACAGAAATGGGGAAAGTGGACATCCCTGTCGGACACCACTGGTTGTTACTAATTCAGATGACAATTCCCCATAAGCCCTTACACGACTACGTGAGTTTGAATAGAGTGCCTTGATTAGTGCGATGTACTTTCTTGGCACTCCCTTCACAGTCAGACATTGCCATAGTACTTTTCGGTCCACGGAGTCGAAGGCCGCCTTCAAGTAATAATAATAATAATAATAATAATAGTATATTCTCATTTTGTACATGAGAGACGCCAGTTTACAGGCATCATCAATATGATAAATTACATATACGATTAGCAATCATAATTAATAATAATGTTTTAATAAAGTACACATTTTTTCCTACTTGTGTAGGACACACCAAATATACAGGCATGGATAAGCATAAATTAAATTTCATAAATTCGGTTTATGGTTAAGTTACATGGTTGCTGGCGTTTTTGTTTTAATAATAATTATAATAATGTATATTCTCATATAAACATATAAATTTACATGAAAATGCATGCCATTTTTTTAGGTCTGTGGGAACAATATGATAACCAGTCATTCAATGGAGCACATCATGAAATATAGGAATATTGACTTCGCATTAACAAAAAAACCCAAGTAAGTTTCGGATGGATTAAAAATACTTGGGAAAAAATAAAGCTTGAAGTTATTCCACAATATAACAAGTCATTCAATGGAGCACATCATGAAATATAGGAATGTTGTCTTCGCATTAACAAAAAAACCCAAGTAAGTTTTGGATGGATTAAAAATACTTGGGAAAAAATAAAGCTTGAAGTAATTCCTCAATATAACCTGGGTGTGTACAAATCCGAATCTCATTTTTGATTTGATTTATATCCAAATTGGGTAATAAGGAAGCTATTTTTACAGATACGATCAGTTATGTTATAAGCTACAATCGTGAAGTTGTATTACAAATTGATACTTTTCCATTGGTATAAGAGTATATTCCACAAATGTAATCCAGGTTGCGTCGTGGAGAAAGTTAATTCGTTATTAACCAGGCAACTGAAAGATACGGGACCAATAATGTTTGCAGATCATTTGTCATTGTAAATGGTCAAATATCCACATTATTCATTCTCATTCAAAAAGTCAAATGGAAGCTGAAATGGTGAGAGAAAAAAGAAGACAAACAACAGCAACGCAAAAGAAAGCAACGGGAGTCCTTAAGGAGTGATTAATAAATATAAACATACATATTCTGTCTAGTAACTGTGGTTATTTTGGTACACAAACTAACTAGTCCCGTTATGCTAACTTTTATATTATGTGTGAACTAATATTACTGTCCTGTGTAGAAATGTTAATCATCTAGTTCCAATAATATTAAAATTTATAATTGTAGTTTGCTGTAACTACACGTTTAAACAACTTAAAATATCTATGTAGGGTGAAAAAGAGGGTGTAAGAGTTAGACGTATAAGTGCATTGTCATCTTTGAGCAGTCTGGTGACTGAGGAGATGAACACTGGAAGTGTGTTTGCATCGCGCACATTAGCTGGTAGTCTATTCCAAATGACTGAAAACTTATTTAAGAAGAAGTTGTACCGCACGTAAGTCTGACAGTGCTCTATAGCAGCTAGGTTGTGATGATTTCTAAGATTGTAACTGACGACAGCGGTAGGTTTAGTTAATGGCTCGGAGGAATGCAAGAGAAGATTAGTTAGCTTATAGTAAAAGATTAGGTTTAGCTTAAGGCGTCTTTTCCAGAGGGGTTCTAATCTTAGTCTTACGCATCTCTCATGGTATTCCAGACTACTTTCTAAACCAAGAGTTCTTGAGGTAAACTGCCGTTGCACTCCCTCTAATTTAAGCTTGTCATTTTGTCTTAGTCCGCTAAGAATAAACGGGCAGTATTCTAAGATAGGTCGGACACATACTTTGTATAATAAAACCCTAGTTTCACAACAAAAGAAATTGCGTGTTATGCATCCTATCAGCCTACGCGTTTTACGTCTGGCATAATCAGTCTGTTCAGCGAACGTTAGGTTACTAGAGTATCTAATACCGAGATCTACGACTGAATTGAGCTTAGCTAGTTTTCGCCCATTTATTTCAAGGTTTAGATCAAGCTTACTGTTGCCGATACAAATCCAGCCGCATTTGTCAATGTTAAAATTTAGGCAGGATTCAGCACACCACGTTGCAAGGCTACTTAGTTCAAGATGTATTTTAGTAACCATATCGCTTAATTCATGAGTGTAGCAGGAGTAGACGACTTTGAGGTCGTCAGCATATAGGAATGGTTTACCTGAGGTGAAGCACTTGCAAATGCTGTTAATGTAAACTGTGAATAAAAGTGGACCTAGGACACTACCTTGCACGACCCCACTTGAGATTTGCCTAGGGTGAGACAATACAGATCCAACTTTGGTTATTTGTACCCTGTTGCTTAGAAATGATTTTAACCAGTTCAGTAATGGGTTGCGAATTCCACAAGAGTACAGCTTCTCAAAGAGAATACTGTGAGATACCATGTCAAATGCCCTAGATATATCGAAGTATAGAACAACGACTAGCTTACGTGCTTCGCGATTACTAGTGATGCAGTTGAAAAAGTCGAAGTGGCAAGTAACGCAGGATCTATTTTTGAGAAATCCGTGTTGAGACCTTGTAACAAGATCCTCCCTAATTAGGTAGTCTGACAATTGATCCTTTACAACTTTCTCCATGATTCGTGAGATAACTGGGGTTATATTTATGGGTCTGTAATTGCGGACGTTTGCCCTATCACCAGATTTGTAATGTGGAATTATGAAGCTAGTTTTCCACTCACTAGGGTAAGTGCCAGTGTCCATAGATATTGAGAAGAATTTAAGAAGTAACAGGGGTATATCACACCCACTGTTTTTGAAAATTATCGAAGCGAGGCCATCCGGTCCCGTACTAGTGGAAGGTTTAAGGCTTTTAATTGCTTGTACTATTAGTTGATTAGTGAACACAATGCTTTCAAGGGAAGAGATAGTAAGGGGAGCGGTTTCACCAGGCATATGTGTTTCTAAACTAAAGTTTGCAAACCAATCACTGAAAGTTCACAGATAGTGGCAGGTTCATTGTAGATTACTTTGTCGTGAAGTAAGTATGGGATTTCCCTCGCTGACTGCATTCGTTTTTTAAGAAGTGCCGTTAAGTTATAAACTTTGGAGGTACTTTCAAGTGCCGTTAACTCTTCGTCGAGGTCCTTTTGAGAACGTAGGCGCTTGATAGATTCAAGAGACTCGTGGATTGAGAGCAATAGTGATATGTCCTTAGTGGAATAGTACTGTTTCTTCAGTTTCCTTAACTTATTACGGTGTGCCCTTGGAATATATTCAGTTCGGTGTCTACTTAATTTCACTATTTTATTTGGGGCAACTGTATCTAGACAAAGGGTAACATTCCTGTAAAACAGGGTTACTAAGGCCTCCAGGGAGTCAGTGGTAAAATAGTCATCCCATTGACAGAGTCGAATAAGTTCTTGGACTAATCCCCAGTCTGTATATTTGTAACTACGACATATTGTGCTTCCTGAGTCTTGTTTGTTTCCTGTATTTAGTGGTGAGAAAGGCAGAGAGCAGAGTACCATTCTATGGTCACTACTGGAAAATCTATTACCAACATAAGTGGATACTGGGATTGTGTCATGACAAAAA